CAGGAAACTTTCGACCCCGCTTTCGTGTTTCTTAGCACTCATCAGTCAGCAAGGTGTATCTACAGTCATGACTCGGAACTCATGTCTCGCCTGAGATTCGAACCCGGGCCACTCAGTGCTCTAGTCAAAGTACCCAATATACTCTTACAGGAGGTCAATTGTGAACCCGAATAGCTCAGTGGTGGTAACGGCTCTGACTGACTGCAGCACTGGGTGACGCGGGTTCAAATCTCAGAACGAACATGAGATCCTTCAAGAGTGTAGATAAGCATTGGTGGCTGGTGATTACCAGCAAACACGAGACCTAGGTTAAAGGTTTTCTACCGATTGCCTCCAACCATCGAATAGAAACAATCCAGAGTGCACCGTGACAACGGTGATTATGAGCAGGAATAAATTGTTCTCTATACGTCGATAGTATAGCGGTCAGGACGCTCGCTGACCATGCGTATGGTCCGAGGTTTGATCCCCTGCCGACGCACAACTGAAATCAATGATCGGCCTGCTTAATTTGGGCTACCGATATAACATGCTGAAAATTCCATACTTGTACCAAAACACTGTGTGGAATCAAGTTCGAACCTCCTGTGGTGGGTGCGTACTACCGATGACTCCCAAACTAGACTAATGAAACAGCTGTCTGGCAGTACTCCAGTGCTGGTTTTCAATGGTTCTCTAACTGATATCAATCCGTGGTTAAACTCGTAAAGCTCAATAGACAGTGGAGAGTGATATTAGTGTGAAAGACAATAATAATAGTAATGGTAGTAATGGTAATAATAATATTGATAAGACATGTCTCATGTACTTCGCAAAGAGACAAAGAAAGGAACAGAATTGAGTAATTTTATTTCTGCTTACATATACCTATATATGTATATATATATATATATATATATATTGCATGCTATACCTATATAAGATGGACTACAGTGTAAACATTTGTATATGACTGAGACTCTTATCAGACATGAATTTTTAAAAAGGCAAATCAAGTAGATATTGGTTGTCAAAACTGTAGAGATTGTTCTTTCGATCTGAGTTAAACACGTCCTGTTTAACGCAGAGAAAAACTGATAAGTAGTGTTACTGCAGTCCTTTATTCGCAGTGGTATAATATACATATTTAAAAAAAAAATAAAGAAGAAATTGAGCGGATTATATGAAAAATTTACATTACCAAAGATTCATAAGATTTCTTTTATATGGTAGTGTTTTCTGACCAGGTGGATGGTTTATTTGCGAAGCTTTCATTGCCACATCCCACCATCTACTAGGCAACATCTTCAGCGCATGCACTTCAATTTGAATCGAAGTGAACTGTTTTAGATTTCTCCACGAGTTTATTAATCATCTCCCCTGGCGACCTTGGACATAATTAGTTGTTTTTGTGTGTTTCTGCACAGCTTCTAGTCTACTTGTATTGGAACTGATTGTTTCCTTGACTTGAACTTTGACCCTTTGTATATGAGGTTTCTTTCTTATCGGTTGATAAATTTGGTCAATCTCGATGTGTCTATTGATTGATGATTCCCTGGAATGTCTTATATATACCCCGAAGCCAACCTATCAAACCAAAAGCCTCCGAGGAAAGCACAAAGAAAGTCGCCCTACCATTTATAAAGGATATATCAGAAATCGTTGCAAGACTCGTCAAACCTTTAGGAATTGACGTCTCACACAAACCAACAAAATCACTTCACTCACTTCTATGTCAACCAAAAGACTGAACAACGAAAGAAGATAAAACCAACATCAGCTACAAAACACTACATTAGCCAAAGTGGACGTCCCCTTCGTCTTCGTATCCACGAACATAAGCTAGCCGTCAAAAGATATGACATCCACTCCATCACTCATATCACTACATACAGACAACCACGGACATCAATTCGACTGAGACAAATTTCAAATATTAGACAGAGGAAACAACAAAAATGCTGGAGAATTTTTAGAAGCTTGGCATTCCAGTGAATCATCAATCAATAGACACATCGAGATAGACAAAATTTATCAACCGATATGAAAGAAACCTCACATACAAAGGGTCAAAGTTCAAGTTAAAGAAACAATCAGTTCCAATACAAAAACATCCTCTGGTTTTAATTTATTAACACAAAAACAGCCAATCACGTCGAAGGTCACCGGGAGAGATGATTAATAAACTCGTGGAGAAATCTAAAAGCTCACTTCAAATTGAAGTATGCGCTAAAGATGTCACCTAGTAGGGTGATGAAAGCTTCGCAAATTAACTATCCAGCTCCGAGAAAACAACCACATCAAAGAAGAGCGTAAAGTCTTACATAGTTTTTCAAAAGAATGATTACTGAACAAAGAATATTCTTTTTGATAACCTACTCTTCATCAGGTTATACAGTTATATGCATCTGTTATAGTGAATGAATTGACTGACTGGTTTCAAACATGGAACTTTGCACTAATGTGCAGCGGATCCAGTCGCCACCCTCCACTCCATTTAGCACACAAAGACAGAGAAGAAGAAGAAGAAAAAGTAAAAATAAACGCTAAACAGATACAGTAAACAGAGATATGAGGCAAAAAGAATAGTAATATCGAAGAAGAACTATATAGTTTTATTGGATATTATAAGTCACAAGGAGTGGGTGCATCTGCGCCAGCCAGCCATTGAGAACGATGATTGTGAGACATATCACCAATTGTCTCCAGCCTTCATTGGTGTTTACCGTCCCGAGGACCCCGACCAGTCAGGAAGTCTACATCTTCCTACGTGGCCGGCTTAAACTAACTGTTGTGGATTTCACTGACTGATAAAGCCATGTTTTGGTTTGACCACCACCACTAGCTCTTTTCCAACCTGACCTTAGTCAGCTAATATTGCCCGTGTTATTAACAACATTAATGTTGTTTAAATTACATCGAATCAATAAAATAATAATATCAATGGATAACACTTCGATAGCATCAACACAACAATATACACTGAATATCAGACAGAGAAATTAGGAAAGATAATAATACAAATTCATGAACTTATAGTCTCCACTGAAGACTGGCCAAGGTAGTAGTAGTAGTAGTGGCTGACTGGACTTGCTTCTTTTGCACACAAAGCACTGGTTGATTTCACGCGAACTGCGATAGCCTCTGCTGTTTGGAGCATGAGGTACCTGGATGTTTTCGGCAGTTTGTTTAGTACCCTGTAGATGATAGAGACGGTTTCTTCAATGCTGGTTGGCTTTACGGCCGGTTTGGACCAGGTGGTCTAATATTGAACTGTTGATGGTTTTTACTACACTTTTACTTAGTCATACTGGGAGATGTTCTCGAGTCCCTACAGCAACGGCCAATATAACTCGTTCCATCGCAGGCGCAGTTGAATTGGCAGATACAACTGGAAATGGCTAGCTAGTCTAGGTACTTCATCTTTCAATCGAGGCATCACCATCGATCGTGTAGAAAATAAGACTTGTAGTTGCTTCTAGTTCCCTTAACTAATGAGATTCAAGGAGAGAATTGTGCATATAGAGAGGATGCTCAGGGTTCAACAAGATATAATATTCGCTAAATTCTTCCATGAGCCCATGTGTGTCTGTCTACAACAGTATAAACACAAATTGGTTTAGTGACACCCCACTACTCACCCTGCTGACAGCTTTCAGTACAGCAGTTCAAGCTCGCACACTCAATATAGCACACAAACGTAGACGAAAGAGTAAAAAAACAACCTATAATGAGCAGAAATGTTCAAGGGAAAGAATAATGAGGACTTATTGAATCTTGAAGGTTAGAAACAGTGAGTAGTGAGTCTATACTCCACTGAGAACATTTTAAACAGATATCACCAACTGCCTCAAGCAAGCTACTGATTATTCATGTCTCGACCACCCCAACCGACCAGGCAGTCCACACCTCCTACTATGTGAGTGACCCAGATCAACAGTCAAAGATTTAAGAGACTGAGGAGTCAGATTTTGATAGTGGACGAGTCATTGAGCGTGCCACCTAAGTTTTTCTAAAAGATTTCCTCTCGAACTGCATCAAAAAACAGGGATAAAAATCAAATAATAATAGTAATGAGGCTAAATAACTCGATAAATATATTGAAATCATTGAGAACAGAATATATATATATATTGACGTCACTTTTCTGGTGGATACCGGGGCATCGTCCTCTTTTGTTCGCACGAAATTGGTCAAGAGACTTGGGGTCAAACCTAAACCTCTACCCAATCAGCTCCCGCTAATTACTGCCAATAGAAATCCTATCGAGGTAACGGACGCGGCCACCCTTTCCGTGACATTCCAAGGTTTTACTTGTGCTCATTCGTTCGTCATTTGTGATGTTATGCGATGGGACGCCATACTGGGCGTAGACTTCTTAATTGGGCAAAACGCTGTCATTGACCTAAGACGCCTTCGAATTCGGCTGCGGACACATAACCTCTCATTTAGCCGACCAGTCCACCGCAATCAGAGTGCTAATGCTTGTGCTTTACCCCAGATGACAATGGTGAACATTCATGATAACCCCCGCCTCAGCCTAAAAGACCGTACCGAAACCCTGGCCCTGCTACAGGAGTACAGTGATGTGTTTGACGATGGACAAGTGATGGGGCGGACTAATATGGTACAACACGAGATCAAGACAGGCGATAACTTGCCCATTAGGACGCCACTGTGACGGGTACCCATTCATTACCAACAGCAGTTGGACACCATGATAACAGACATGTTAACAAAGAAGGTGATTAAACCGTCTACATCACCGTGGGCATCTCCAATCGTGCGCCGGTGGCACAGTGGTTAGGATGCTCGCCGACCATGCACATGGTCCAAGGTTCGATCCCCTGCCGACACACACCCGATATCTATGGTAGACCTGCAAAATTTGGGCTACCGATATCACATGCTGAAAACTCCATACTTCTACTAAAAGTACTGTGTGGTTTCAAGCTATAACCAAAATAATATATATATATATATATATATATATTGATCAGTACACTTATTAGTAAACTCACTTGAGGTGAAGATCTTGCCAACACTCTTAAATTAATCCATACTTGATCGAATAAATCTTGTCTAACTTTACCAGTCACTTTGTCACGTATACGTCGATTAAATTCTTTACCTTCTAGAACGAGGAAATTTTCACCAGGTTGTAGGATACCACATTTCATAGCTATTGATCGTGCAGTATTCACATTGTCCCCCGTGACCATACGTACAGTGATACCAGCTTTTTGACATTGACGTATAGCAGCAGGTACTTCTGGTCGAACTGGATCTTCAATACCAATTATGCCTAATAATGTAAGACCTTCTAACAGTTGGTCTTCATCATCCCAATTAGGCTCTTTCTGAACAATCAAATCGTTTGGACTTTTTGAATTGGAAGCTGTATTCATGAATAAGGCAAACAGAAAAAAGAAGAGACAATTTTTTTTAAAATTGATGAAGTTGGATTCCTCTATTATTATTATTATTATTATTATTATTATTATTATTGTATCCTTTAATTCCTACAGGAACATAGGGCTTCAGCCGTGCGTCTCCATTGCGTTCGGTTCTCTGCTAGAGTCTTCCCCTGGCTCCAAGTCTGCCCACACACACGTTTTCATCTCCTCTTCACATGACCTCCTCCAAGTCACCCACCCTCGCACTGACGACCAACTCGCCGCTTCCCTTTCGGGTTCCACTCGAGCAATGGCTTGTCTAGTGATGTCACTTGATGGTTTGTTTCCTGAGAGTATGGCCAATCCATCTCCATTTCTTCCTGCCCATTTGTTTCACAATCGGTTCCTGGTTGGTTCGCTCATTGCCAGAGATCTCTGTTGCTGATCTTTTCTGGCCATCTGATCTTCAGTAATAAGCGAAGACAGCTGTTAATGAAGGTCCGTAGTTTGTTTGAGATAATCTTTATGACGCGCAGTGCAAGTCTCTGATCCATATATTAGGTAGCACTGACTTCACATTGGAGTTGAAAATCCGGATCTTATTTTTGATGCTGAGTGTTGTTGACCTCCACACAGACTTGAGAGTAGTGAAAGCTTGTCTTGATTTTCCGATCCTTGCTTTGATATCCTTGTCAGTTCCGTCCGCCTGTAGTTGAAACGATGCTTCCCAGGTAGGTAAAAGAGGTTCCTCCCATTTATGCTGATCGTTGTCTGTTGTTGTTACTGCTGTTGGTGGTGCCACCCAGGAATCTTCATCACCTCTGTTTTATCTATGTTTACATGGAGTCCTATCTTTGATGATTCTTCTGCCAACTTGTTGCTTTTCGCTTGCATGTCTTCCAGTTTGTGCGAAATCAGACATATATCATCGGCGACGTCCAGATCCTCCAAGTTTTTTGTGTGAGTCCATTTTATGCCTGTTTCCTCCCTGCCCGTTGTTTATCGCATTATCCAGTCTACTGCAATCAGGAAAATCATTGGCGATGGTAGGCAGCCTTGTCTTACTCCTGTCCTCACTTCGAAGGGTTCTGTAAGTTCCCCGTTGTGGATTACTTGGCATGCAGCATTGTCGTACAGGTGTTGGATGAGATGTATAATTGTCGGTGGTGGTGGATTGCTATAGGCCACATGTAACACATAACCTTAACCATAAATAAGCATGTAGTCCAGTAGGTGTTCCCTGGAGACATATCGTAGTAAAACGCAGATTAAAAGAGGTTAACTTCATCTCAACATCAACGAGAGAGATTTAACAGAGGTTACCTCCTTCATTTATCTGGCTAGGAAGCACGGTTTCAACCACATACAGTCGGAAAGGATGAAAATGTCAAAGCCACCCAGTGGTGATCGGAAAGGTAAGTTTGGAAATCTTCTGGACTAACTCAGCATAAAGAACAAGATTCGTTCGTATTGTGTTCAACACAAATGTGAAATCAGTCGGTCAGTTCTTCTATGCGGGTCAGAAGCTTGCACTGCGCGTGCGTCACGAAAAGGATTTCCAACAGGCCACTTCAGAATTTCATCAACTGCTTCCACCTTGGCTGGCTCCAAATGGCCAGATCAAATAATCAGCTGACCAGAAAGAATTAGTAACAAGAAACTCTGGCTGGGAACAAACCAATCCAAAGCCGATTTCTCAACAAACATGTAGGAGAAAATTCAGATGGATGGGTTGGGCATACATTGAGGAAACCGTCGAATGACGTCGTCGCTCGAGTGGAATCCGGATGGGAAGTGAAAGAGTGACATGGAGGAGATCGTGTGTCGAGGAGGAAGAGATGAGAGATTATGGGCAATTGTGGAGATGTGTTGTTGAAGCTCCATGTTCCACTTGGAACTCAAGGGAATAATAATAACTTCATCTCAACCTTAAGAAAGTGGAGACACAGCTTACTGAACACTAGGGCGGGAAGAGAAACAGCATATGTGGGCTCAGACAAGGTACCTTCACGGTTAGATTGAAAGCATGCAAAGAAACTGGAAACAGAACACAATTCAAGTTCAACATCCAGAAAGTGAAGGACGCCCTATTGCAGCATAGTAGAGGTCGTGTGAGGATAAAAAAGAAAATATATGCGGAATCAATCATGAAGCCAACAATACAATACTGAAGAGAAAAGCGTGAAATGCTAATGTGCTACTCAAGCCCTATGTTCCACTCGGAACCCAAGGCAATAATAATGACAATACCCTGTTGTACATGTTCTCAAGCTAAACTACACTTTTTATTAGAAAGGTATGTAGGAATAACCTTTTTCACTGAGAAATATTTTATTACTATATATAGATAGTTCAACTGCATATTCTTTCAAGTTGTTCAATACTTACCACAAAAGTTGCCCGGTTTATAATAATAATAGCGTTATAAGAAGACGGAGATTATCTGAAAAATGTGATGTATTTGCGCTATAAATTTCGAACAATCTGATGACACATTTATTTGTCAAGTCGATATATTGATGAAAATGTCAAATTAAACAAAGTGACAAAAAAGGATTTAAGATTGAACAAAACAACGTTTGGTACTCCAGTCAAATAAGGATTACCAAGGTAGGTTAAGAGTAATAATAAATTGTTTTTGAATACACAGAGGGGACGCTTAAGTTTATGAACAGCTATAGCCTCGGCGTATTTCAATAAGCGCCCTTGACCGTTTTTATAGATGACCTTAAAGGCTGAGTTAACATCAACCTTATGGTTCATCTCTATTATGTGTTTAGCTATAGACGAAGTTGGTAGTCTGACACCTGCATCTATTGGTTTCCACAGTTCATTTGTTTTTCTAGCCATTTCGGGATATGCTCTCTTCCCCCCCCCCTCACATGCAAAGCGCGATTACTCCTCCCTATGTATGTATGTCCACACACACACGAAAATTGGTAAATAGTGTGGGATGTGACATAATCACTTGTGCACTTTTGAAGTTTGCAGTGAAGCATATTTTTAGCTTTTTCGACAATGACAAGCTGGGCTGCAAAATAGGTTCTACGGATGATCGAATTCAACCTTTATTTCAAAATCCTACTGTTTATTTCCCCGTTATATGGTAATTTGATGAAAACCTTTTTCTTAGGGGCAGTATGGTGGCTAATTGACTTCTACATCTGTTTAAAAATTTAAAGGATATCCGCTTTCAACAAGAGTATCCATCAATATTGCGTTTTCTTTGTCTATAACATCAGCCGTACAAATACGTTGAATCCTTTTAAACAGACATTTCACCAAGCCTCTCTTATACTGTAATGGACAGAAACTGAAAATTAAGGTACTGTCCTGTCCAAATGGGCTTTCTGTAGATTGATTGTCTTATTGAACCATCATCTCTTCGACTTAGAAGTATGTCTAAAAATGCAAGCTGGTTGCATCCTTATTTGATTGGAGTACCAAACGTTGTTAATCATTCTTAAATTCTTTTTTGTCACTTTGTTTAATTTAACATCTTCATATATATATCGACTTGACAAGTATACATAAAGTGAGAATATATTATTATAAGACGCATTTTATTGTTTTATGAGGGAATTGACTTCAAGCTTTATTTATTTTCCCAAGTATCTGTAATCCATCCAACGCATACTTGGGTTTTTTTGTTAATGCGAAGTCAATATCTCTGTATTTCTTGATGTTCCATTGAATCACTAGTTATCAGATTTTTCCCACAAACTAAAGATAAAATGACAGTAACCATGTTATTTAACCGTAAATCATGTAATTTAAATATGTAACTCAAATAATACTTATCCATGCCTATACAGCTTGTGTGTCCTACATTTGTAGGAATAAATCAGTACCTTATTACACTATCATTACTAACTATCCTTACTAATCGTATGTGTAATTTATCGAATTGATGACGCCTGTAAACTGGCGTCCCTCATGTACAAAAATGAGAATTTATTATTATTATTATTATTAAATGTGTGATCAGATTGTTCGAAATGTATATCGCAAATACATCACATCACATTTTTCAGATAATCTCCGTCTTCTTATAACGCTATCCAAATGTATAAAGGGGACAAATTGTTTTATATAATAATAATAGTTATTATTATTATTAAGCAGTTGCATAACCATTTGAAAACGAGGCAACAACTAAACTGCATAGGTAGCCCATGTCTCCCCCGCCCCACGCACACACAGATGCAAAGCAATGTAACATAAAAGCACTTACCAATTGTAATTTTCCTATAAGCAATACCAATTGTTCGAAGACCTTCACTAGCCATTGGTTCAATAATTGACTCTGTTAAACGTTCTTGATCTTGAACGCTAAATGGTTTTGGTTGGCCTTGTTCATCCATCATCCATGAACAACTGTATAATGAAATGAAAGAGAAAAAGAAATCGATAGAGTGAGTGAGTGAATGAGTTGAAAAGCGGAACATGAAGAAAAACAAAACAAAAAATTGTAAATGGTGCAATATACTACTGATTGATCAATTTGAGTAGATAGATACAAACAACTCACATCAACTTGGAATAGTGAAATTTTCACCTGGAATTCTGTTAATTACAAATCGCAAATATGATTCAACGTATTACCACCAGTTCACTGAAGTAACAACTCGAGATACGGATCTCTAAGTTGAGTCAAACTAAGCCCAGTAACACTGCTGATGAACTCGGCGTCAAACGAGTCATCATTCAGTGCTTAGATTACTTCGATCAGGCTGGCTGGCTGGCAAGCAAGCATAATTGGTTGGTGTAAGTGCGCTGTCCAGTATCTAGTGACAGCGTATGTTTTTGATTTCTAGGAAATTTCAGATCGAACTGTGCAAAAGTGCACATCACGAATTATATTTTTACAAATTTGGAATTTGATTCAAAACTTTTAATAAGAACAAATTAGTTCAGCGAAGAGTCTCTTTTCGGCGAATTCATCCACTTAGCTGTACAGTCGCAAATATATATACAATTATTTTGTGTGTGTGTGTGTGTACATTAGGTTTGACAAAATCAAAATAACAGTTAGTGTGGGTTGTTGATTATATCATCAAAATATTGAAGAAGTTAAAATGTGTGATTAATACTCAAAGTTGTAACTAAGTGGGGTGAAGATTGGTACGATGTGAGTAGGGTTACGTAATATGGACATGTTTAGAAAGATTAGATGCTAGTGAAGGAGTTTGGAGACAATTATGAAAATAAACTAGATAATAGGTGAAAAGATTGAATGGGTTAGTTACTAAAAATTGTTATACGAAAATTGCAAAAAAAAAAATTGATAACAAAATGTTGATGACAAATAAACTTGGAATTAAACCCACGGTAGTAGGAGGGGGTGGAGAAGTTTCTTCTGTGTGCATAACTCAGACTTTTTCTTTATTATTTTGATGATATAATCAACAACCCACACTAACTGTTATTTTGATTTTGTCAAACCTAATGTACACACACACACACACAAAATAATTGTATATATTTGCGACTGTACAGCTAAGTGAATGAATTCGCCGAAAAGAGACTCTTCGCTGAACTAATTTGTTCTTATTTCAATGTCTTAATGGGTATATTTCGCGAATCAAAACTTTTAAAAAATGTCTCAAAAAAAAGATTCTCTTGCATTATGGATGGGAACATAGGCGAAAAATAAAGAATAGCGACCAGAGGGGACGAGCACATCAGTGACTTTGAACACTCTCCATTCCACTGGATTACAGAACCTGTCGTCCATTTTACATCAAAAAGCCGTTTATTTACCAGAAAAATTTCAGTAGCAGTGGTATTTATTTTTACGGGATGGAATTGCTAGCCTCAAGCCCAACCTCCCACTCTTTAACCAGTTTTATTACTGGCTTAACGAGGTAAAAGAGTGCGTCAGTGGCCGGGGATCGAGCCCAGAACTACATGGGGCATGGTTAGCGAGCATTCTACTGCTGTGCCACCGACCAGAAAAGGCAAAGTAATAATAGTGAAACACATTAAAGACGACATTTTACCCTGACATAACTGGAAAATACCTCCCAATTACAGTGAAGGGTATCACTTTTCAGATTTCATGGGTATCGAAAGGGTTTAATCTATATGAACAACGGAACACTCTCCTCCCATTTATTTATTTATTTACGAGAAAAATACAGATTGATAATAATAATAAGACATCCCTTTCCTTATGTTAATTCTAATCCTAATACTTACCTCAACCCTAGTCCTTACTCTAACACTAGCCCTGACACTCACCTTATCCCACACCCTAATACTAATCCCAACCACAACACCCCTAAAGGGTTTATCATAGCACCTTCAGGTTACAAGGCCAGCCCGTCAACCATTCAATCACCTGGTCGGAATCCAATCGCCTACCCATTTCCGACTCTTGTCTATTCATGATATAATGCGAACGTTGGCATCATCGCCATGCCTTGATACATGACAGAGACGCATGAAAAGTAATTCTGAAGAGTCCTCCAAAAAAGGATGGAATAAACGAAATTCCCATATATTTAGTCCTTGAGAATCTCTAGACACACATACATACATCATATGTTAGTGATAATGCATCGGTAGGTCGACTGTAGAATGCTCACCAGCCACTCATGCGGGCAGTGTCTAGGTCCAACTTTCAACCGAATGCCATTTGAACCCCCCGCCTAGTATATTATTAGCCAACAGTAGGCCTGGAGAACCACGTCACAAATAGCATGATATGATAAAGGAGGTTTGTAGCTCAGGTGGATGATTTTGATGTGGTTGTGTTCTCTGAGCTGGATAGTTAATTGGCGAAGCTTTCATCGCCCTACTAGGCGACATCTTCAGCGCATACTTCAATTTGCTGAAGTGAGCTTTTAGATTTCTCCATGAGTTTATTAATCATCTCTCCTGGTGGGTGACCTTGGACGTGATTGGTTGTTTTGTGTGTTTTCACACCATCTAGGCTACTTGTACTGGAACTGATTATTTCTTTGACTTGAACTTTGACCCTTTGTGTGTGAGGTTTCTTTCTTATCGGTTGATAAATTTTGTCTATCTCGATGTGTCAACCGATAAGAAAGAAACCTCACACACAAAGGGTCAAAGTTCAAGTCAAAGAAATAATCAGTTCCAATACAAGTAGTCTAGAAGGTGTGAAAACACACAAAACAACCAATCACGTCCAAGGTCACCCACCAGGAGAGATGATTAATAAACTCGTGGAGAAATCTGAAAGCCCACTTCAAATTGAAGTATGCGCTGAAGATGTCGCCTAGTAGGGCGATGAAAGCTTCGCAAATTAACTATCCAGCTCAGAGAACACAACCACATTAAAACCAGTTACCTTCTCTGACTACATACTGAAGATCAGATGGCCAGTCAGAAAGAATAAGAAAACAGGAAATTCTGGGAACAAGTCAATCAAGAACCTGCTACTCAACAAATATGCCTAGCAAAAGATGGCGATAGATCGAACACACACACACACACATTGCGGAGACAGTTGGATGACATCACGCGCGCCAAGCCATCGCTCAAGTGGAACCCCAAACGAGACACAACGAGTAGGATATCGCTCCAAGGGTAACATGGAGGCGGTCGTATCAAGAGGAGATACAAGTTAAGCGGCAATTGTGCGGCTAACTAAAGAAGACATTAGAGAATAGAACGAAGTGAATATCTGCTCCGGTTGAAGCCCTATGCCCCACTCGGAAACCAAGGGAACAGTAGTAGCAGATGTCGGCGTGGAGAAAAGATAAGGCTAGCAACACCAGTCCATATGAAACTTCAGATCTCTAAGGTTGATGTGAAATTCAAAGATGCAAGTAATTTGCTCTGCGCATTTCACATATTACACAACACGATGTAATTTACAGTGACTTGAAGTGTTACAGAAAAGCAAAGAAATTAGAGGAGCGAAAAAAAATAGGCAGGAAGATTTATTTGGTGGATATAATGGACTGATGCGAAAGTGCAAGTGGAAAAAAATAAAGCAGAACTCTGTGTGTTATCAAGTAATGCACTTTCGTAAACACACACACACCCAGGCATGCACGCGCACAAACAGGTTGAAATGTGTGTGTATTTTTTGAATAAGAATAATTATAATATTAATCAGTGGTGACTGCCTCTGTCTTGCATTTCATCTGAAAGTAATTATCACTCAAAATAGATAAGTATATTCAACGACAAAAGTATGTTTTTATCAAATTTCACTCGGTAGGAAGTAGTCGTCGTTACGCCTAAGTCATGGTATCTGTGTGTATGAGTGTGTGTGTGTGTTGACGTACTTTCCAGTCTGTCTGTCTGTTTAAGACATAGAACTTTGCACCGATGTGCAGCAGTTCAAACCGTTACACTCCACTCCATTTAGCACACAAAGACAGAGAAGAAGAAAGTAAAAAGAAATGCAACACAGAGACAGTAAACAGAGATATAAGGTAAAAAAGGTAGTAATATCGAAGAAGAACTATATAGTTTTATTAGGAATTATAAGTCACAAGGAGTGGATGCATCTGCATCAGCTATTGAGAACGATGATTGTGAAACATATCACAAATTGTCTCCAGCCTTCATTGGTGTTTACCGTCCCGAGGACCCCAACCAGTCAGGAAGTCTACACCTTCTTACGTGGCGGGCTTAAACTAACTGTTGTGGAATTCATCGACTGATGGAGCCATGTTTTGGTTTGACCACCAACACTAGCTCTTTTCCAACCTGACCCTATGTCAGCTAACACTACCCGACGAGGAAGGTGATGTCTAGGGATGCATGCATAACACATGTCCTAACCATCTCATTCTATGTAACTTATCAATCTCGTCTATTGACCTCCTCTCCTTACCTAGCAGTCGACTGAAACCTAACCTCAATATTGCTCACCCTATTATACCACCTATCTAACACGGGAGATAAAACGCAGACACCTATGATCAAAGACAGCTAGCCTTTTCATGTATTCCGCTCTCAATGGCCCGATCTCACAGCCATAAAAGATGAGGACGGATTGAACCACTGAGCAGTACACAAGGCCTTCGGTCAACAGCCAGCTAGATATCACGTTTATGCGTGAGACAGCGTAAACTGGCATATGCGAAGCGAACCCCCTGCATACGTGCAGAGATTTCGTTAGTGATCAACCCACTTGCGTTGGCTGATGCAGCTTCTCAACGTGCTCTACCACTTCACTCCCTATTTCTAAACTACCAGTCAGTGTAGTCCAGTCCTGTAACATCATCTTACATTAAACAGAGGGAGAGAATCGCATGGCAAACATTCGTAGATTGCAGCTCAAGGTGTTCAGAAGACTCCGCTCGGGTTTGTCAACGTCTTCACCCAGAAGGACTATATCATCTGCATATTCTAAGTCAATGAGATTATCCCCTGGTATCACGTCAATCTCT